CCCCCCCCCCCCCCCCCCCCCCAACCCCCCCCCCCAGCCCCCGCCTCCCCTGAAACCAAGGCAGAGAGCAGGAGCAGAACTTCACCTGAGTCCCGAGAAGTTTGAGAGCAGAGGCTGGGATCGGGGGTGAGGCTGGGGCAGGGGGGTGGAGGAACAGTTTCTGAAGGTTCATTCATTCTACAAATAGCTACTTAACAAACTTACCTTCTAGCAGGGGAGACACAATAAATACTTTAATTTCAGGTAATGTTAGGTGCTATAAAAAAATGAAACAGTTCAGTGGATTAATGAATGATGGGAGAATGCTTCTCTAAGGAAGTGACATTTGAGTCCCATTAAGAAGGCAGATGACAGAAGACAGACACTCTCTGAGTAGCCTCTGACTGGGGGTCTTGGCAGAGAGTGGGGGAGGTGGAAGTGGACGTAGACTACAGGAAAGTTGTAAGGTGGCTGGTTCCTTTCTCTCTTTCCTACCTCTCTGCCTCCAGGTGCCCCCCCTTGACTCTCGCCCCAGCTCTCCAGCCCTCTACTTCTTTCCCGATGCCAGTCTGGTTCACAAGTCTCCAGACCCCTTTGGAGCAGCAGCAGCCCAGAGCTTCAGCCTGGCCCGCTCCATGTTGGCCATCAGTGGTCACCTGGACAGCGATGACGACGGGTAGGTGGGCTCTGCGTAGTGGGATGTGAGGCTGAGGCTCCCCACCCAGCACCTGGGATAGCTTCATAAAACTGCCTTGTAGGTGTCCTTCCCCCAAGTTGAACTTGGAGAGGACAGACTTAAACAGAGAAGCCTGGCCTGGGCATAACCACTGGGCAGAGTTGATTTGGGACCCACTCCCTCTCTGTGGAGAAAGCTGGGTGGGACTCACTGGCTGAGGACTGTCAAGTCAGAGACTTTTTTAGAGTTTGAAGGGAGTCATTGTTGTCAAATTCCAGAGCTCTTGCAGATTTAGAGATCATCTGGCCAACCCCAGGAACCCACTGGCAAATGTGCTGGAGACGAGAATAGGAATCAGTCTCCTCCCAGTTCCATCTCCCTGTCGCCTGCTGAGGAGGGGAATGGGACTCTTTACAGTCCTCATAGTCTATATGGAGTACTTTAGGATCCTAGGACTTCTAGTACCAATAAAGCATTGCCCTAAGGTTCTGCACCGTGAGGGGCTGTGGCCAGCACCCAGGAACACCATGGGGGCTGAGCCCTCCCGTGGCCACACCGTGGCCAGGATAGCTATCTGGGAGCAGGGAGCTGGCACAGCACAGGAGAGCAGGACTTTCTGGTGCTTGCCCTGTAGGGGAGAATGCCCTGTTCTTTGGCAGGGTGGGCAGAGCTTCCTGTTTCGAGGGCCAGGTTTCAACACTCATAAGAATGTCAGCAAGTCGAAAAGGGAGGAACAAAGTTGCAAGTCAGATAGCTTGGCCGCTGGCTTCTGGCTGTGGACTGATAGGAACCTAGGAGAAGGGCTAGGGAGTTGCCACTTTTATTTTGGAGGGAGGAGTGGGACTTCCTGTGTGAGGCCCTCAAGGGGAGGGACTTCCTGTTTGGAAGGAAATTAGGGGAGGGACTTCGTAAGTGGGTGCTGGAGGGACCCATTCCAGATGGGAGTCACTCCTTCCTGCCTTCCCCTAATGTGGTGCCAGCCCCCGGAATCGGCGACTGAGGCCCACGAAAGAAAGGGGCCTGAGGCATTAGGGAGAGCAGGGATCACAGAGGGAAGAGCTGGTGGGGAGGGGGCTGGTGCCAGGCAGCGCAGGGCGGGGCAGGGCAGCTTCTGGGTTCCCAGCTCTCAGGAATGTGTGAGGTGTGAGGTCGGCCAGGGCCAGAGAGTCACCTGCCCCTGTGGCTGCTATTCTCAGCGCTTCCCACCCTTTCCCCATCCCACTTGGGAGGTTCCCTGGCAAGAGGGCTCCCGGCCCCTCCCCCAACCCTGTTGATTTTGTAGCTCAGCCTCCTGCTTTCTCTTTCTTAAGAGGGTTCTGCCTCCAGAGGCCTCCTCAGCTCTATTCTTTTGGTTTGTCCCCTCCCTCCCTCTCTCTGTCCCACCCCTTCCACACACCCCAGTCTGACCGGTCCGGCTCCCAGCCTCCGCTTTACCCTGCTCCGCTCCAAGGCTCTGGGGTTCTGACCCAGCCCAGCCCCTCGCGCCCCACCCTGCTGGGCCAGCGGGTTTGGGTTGGGCCAACCCTTACCTTCCCCCCCAGGAATGGGGTGTGTAGACCCCACCTCACCTGTCTGGTCAAGCTAACAGGAGAACAGGGTCCACATGGCATGGGACCTCCCTTTTGACAGGGGAAGTGGGCTGGGGTATTAAATTTCTGGATCCCGGGCTGGGAGCTGGGGATACCTGACCAATCCCTGAATCTAGGAATAGGAAAACAGAGAATACCTAGTGAATCGAGTGCTTCTGGATTGGAATATCCTTCCTGTCCCCAGCTTGGCCTGGTAGGTGGGAGGTATTTGGTTAAGGTGTGAATAAGTGGATGGATGGATGGATGGCCGGCCTGGGTAATCCAGGCATTATAGGGAATGGAGCCCAAGGACCTGGGGAAAAAAAAGGAACATTTATTTAGCACCTCCTCTGGGTCTGGTGCCACCTCTTATCTCATGTAATCTTAAAAGCAATCCCATGATCCCCACTTTCCCACTTTCTTTCTTTCTCTTTCTCTTTTTTTTTTTTTTTTTTTTTTTTTGTGGCTAATCAGTAAGAGGATCTGAATCCTTGACCTCAGCCAGCTCCGGTCCCCACTTTCCAGATGAAGAATCTAAGATCCAGAAGAGGGATTTAGAAACTTGCCCAAGGTCACCCACCTAGTGAGTGGCTGGACTGTGGTAGAGCCTGAGTCTGACCCCAAGGCATGATCTCTCTATTCTCCCATTGGAATGCCTGTGTCCCAAGAGATGGGTAGGTGGCACTGGTCTCTAGGATGCCCTTTATCTCTAGGACAGAGGCAGGGACAGCTCTCCCCAGCAGGCAAGGAGCCAGCCCCCTTCCTGCTCCCCAGCCTGGCCCCGCCCCAAAGGCACCACAGATCCGGGAGGGAGTGTAGACAGGGCAGACAGGGCAGCCGGATGCCACTTTGTTGGCCTCAGGCCCAGCTCCTGGGGGCTCCTCACAACATGTTGAGGGAATAGGGCTGGCCCTTGTCCCCAGGATCTGAACCTCCTTACCTCTCCCAGATGTCCAGCTTCTTCATTTGATCTTCATTTCGAGGCTGTTTTATTTGACCTTCAAAGAGGATACCAGTCCCTAGGGCTGTCCTCGTCCCAGGACCCAAGAGTCCTGCAGGGCTAGAGTCTCCTCCAGGTGTCCGTCTCATGTACTGCCCAACTCCAGGGGGTGACACTCACATTTGAAGTTACGATCAATGCTAAGTCACAATCAATGCTTGAAGTCAAGACAGTTTTCTGGAAGATGGCAATAAGTGTCTTGAAGAAGGGGGCATGTTTTAATTCACACAAAGTTGCTTTTAGGCTTTGTAGTGAGGGTTGATCCTGTCTGGCCAACCCCAAGCTTCCTGCTCCTGACCCTGCCCAGGAATTCTAGCACAGCGCATCCAGGCTGTCACTCAGGGGTTCTCAAAAGGAGGGCTTGGGTTGTCAGAGAGTTCTGGTGGCTTGAAGTGTTAATGTTAGAATGTCACAGTGGAAAGTACAGTGAGGAACTCTACTGCGCTAGGAAAACAGGAGATAGTCATCTGTCAGCCAACAAATGTTTATTGTTGTATTATGCCTTTATTTCTGGTGAGAATGAACAACTTACCTTGGCATCTTTACCTGAGTGTCTGCCAAGCAAGGCCAGCACTCCTATTCCTGTATCACTGCCCCTTTTTGGGTTCTGTGTGTACGGGGGGTGGGGGGTGGGTGGCTGGGCTTTCTGTGGTGTCCTAGTCTCCACCCAGGTGTCACGGCTCGAAATAGCTTGAAAACTGCTTTGACCCTCCAGCTGGCTGGCACGCCCTCTGCTCTTAAACGTCTCCTCTCCCTGCTACCCCAGGAGTCCCAGGTGTCCTTCCTCCTCCCCACCCTGCCCTGCTCTCTTAGGCCTGGTCACTCCACCTGTCAACGCCTTCTACACCCAGAGCTTGGATGGGAAGTGGAAAATTCCCAGCTTCCTCACGCTCTCTTTCTGGCTGCAGGGCCTCATCTAAGGGTCACCTTGAATTGAGTGCTGATCCCCCCGCAGGGTAGCAAGTTGGAGCTGACAGCCAGGAGGGAGGGCTTACACGGGAGCATGAAGGCATGGGATTCAGCGTATTTGGGGCCCTTGCTCTGAGAAGGGCTCAGCTGGGGGTGGAGGACAGGACTGGTGACCCTGCAGCACAGGAGGGCAAAGGTGGAGGCCTGGCCTAGGGGCTGAGGCAGAAACTGACAGGGGTGTTGGCCACAGGGGAGAGGAGTGGGAGAAGGAGCATTGGAGGATGGGGCAGGGTGCAAAGGTCTGCGCAGGCCCTGGGCCACGAGAGACGGTCTTGAGGGAGAGCCAGGTCCTGGGGCCACATGGGAGCCTAGTGTCCTGGAGCCAGCCCGGAGCCTGGGCCTGGGGCTGTTGATGCAGGCCTGAGTCGACCTCTGGTGGCCACTTCACAAACTGCGCTTCACAAACCTGCTTCCCACTTCCTGTCATCCCCCTCCCAGCTCTCTTCAAAGCCCCTGCTCCTGTCTCCAATGCCTCATCTCCAGCCTCACTTTCCTACCTGTTCTCAAGTCCTTGCTCCCTTCAGGATCCCAGATCCTGGCCCCAGATCCATAGGCTGTACTGTGTTTATCCCACAGGGCTCCGGTCTCTGGTCTCTGTTTCCGTTGCCATGGTAACCTTTCCCATTCCTCCTTTCCTTCACTGTGGGAGGTAGGGGACCCTCTGGCACAGGCCCCAGGGGTCACCCCTGATGCAGGCATTGCATATGGGGAAGGGGGAGATACTCACCGTGCAAGGAAGACCACAAACACGCCAGAACCTCCTCTACCCCCACCACCTCCACTCCCTTTTCTGAGGCCTTGAGAGAGGCCCGAGTTAGTCCAGAGGGTGCAGTATGGGGTCAGAGGTGGGAAGAGGCCTCCTATGGCGAGGCTCTTTCTCACCACCCATGCCCCTCCCTAACCCAGGCCTCTCGCCCCACAGCCCTCCCCCAACCCCAGCCACCAGCTGACTTCCCTCCGCCAGCCCCCTCCTCTCTACTCTGGGATTAGTGCCAGGGTGAGAAGGGGACACTGGCACTGACCGTGTCTGGGAATTCCCGCCCACCATGGAGCCAATGGTGGGGGGGCCCTGTGTCCCTGAGGAGCCAATAGCAGCCCGGCCTTGCCCTGGGGGGTGGTGTATATCTTTCAGGCCAGCACCCTTTAGGCACTGTCTCCTCCCTGCCTGCCAGGCACCAGCTAGACCCTGCACTGCCTGGGGGGCGCTGAGCCCCCCAGGCATTCCCTTCAATACAGCACTCTCCCTTTGTGGGGGGCGGGGGCCTGAGGACCCTTTGCCCTGAGGGATGGCCCAGCCAGGGGTCTCTGTCAAGTCCCTGGTGTCATCTTATGAGACCCGAGTGGTAGGGACAGCTCCGGGGCCACCCCAAAAAAGGGGCTGTGTCTCCTCTCCTTGCTCCCCTAGGGGAGCATCCCCCATCCGAGGGGCATCTGGACCCCTTCCCCACCGGGGCCTAGGGGGACCTGGGCAGCGGCCCTCACCCCCCAAGGGGATGGACAAAACCCTCCTCTCCCTGATTCTCTACTGTCACAGGTACGGGAGGGGCGTGGGTGCAGGGCTGCGGGAGGAGGGCTTGTGGATGAGGCCACAGCTGCTTGAGCAAGCTGCACCAGGACAGCAGCAGCCGGTGGGGCTGGCCAGACACCTGGCTCCTCCTTCTCACCTCTCACCTCCCTGTGTCCCTCCAGTGGCTCCGGAAGCCTGGTTGGCATTGACAACAAGATTGAACAAGCCATGGTAAGAGAAGCCGTCTTGGTCCCCAGAGGCCCCAGCCCCCTTTAGCAGTCCCTCTGCTCCACCCCACTCCCCTCGTTTTTAGGGAATACAAACTCCCAGCTCCTCGACCCGCTGCTCCCTGCTGGGCTCCCTTGGGTCCTCTGTCACCTCCTGTCTCCACCTCAATCCTTGACTTCCCTTGGCCCCTGGCCTGGCTGCTGGCCCCCACCTCTGTCTTTGAGCCCTGACCCTGCCTCCATCCTGTGTCCTTGCCCATGCCCTCTCCCTGATTTGCTTCTTCCTCAGTGGCCCGTCATTGTTTGGGTGCAGGGGCATCTCTCACACCCAGGTCCTCAAGGCACTGAGCAGGGTGTGAGGTTGGGGTGGCCAGGCACCCCTGACACTTTGCCTGTCCCCGGGCCTCCAGGACTTGGTGAAGTCCCACCTCATGTTTGCAGTCCGGGAGGAGGTGGAGGTGCTGAAGGAGCAGATCCGGGACCTGGCTGAGCGGAATGCCGCACTGGAGCAGGAGAATGGACTGCTGCGGGCCCTGGCCAGCCCAGAGCAGCTGGCCCAGCTGCCCTCCTCGGGGGTCCCACGGCTTGGACCCCCCGCACCCAATGGGCCCTCTGTCTGAGCCTCCCTTCCCTCACAATGTGCCTTTGGGGGCTGCCATGGCTGCCAGGCCTTGTGCCAGCTGCCTGCCCCCTCTTCCTATGCAGCTTTAATGCGCCCTGATCCCCAGGGATGGGAGTTCAAGGCTCTGCATTGGCCTGTCCCCCAACTCTACCCCCGCCTCACCATAGTCCCCAGGCCTTGATGGAGGAGGGAGGGCTTCAGGGCTGGGTGTTAGATGGAGCCCCCTTCCCTGAGGGATCCTGGTCCCCCCTCCTCCCTCCCTAGGTATCAGTGTTCTGGGACCTCCAGCAGTAGATGGTTTGGGGGAGTTGGAGCCTCCCTGGCAGATACCCCATCCCCACCTTGTTCCCTCATAGTGCCCCCTCTTCTCTGCCCAGTGGAGGGAGTATGGACAGTATCTGGAAGTTCTGGGATTCAGGTTGTTATTAAAATAATAATTATAATTAAAAACTCTGAAGAAACTTGAAATTGGAGGTTGGCATCTCGTTGCTTGTGTCAAGAATGGGGGTCTGCACCAGCCATTGAAACTGCCCTGGAAACTCTGTCCAGACTGGGAAGGTTTGATGTGGTGGAGACAGGTCAGGAGAGATGCAGGAAAAGGGAGCTGGAAGTTTGGGTCCCGGGAACGGGCAGGCCAGGCAAGGTCAGGGGGGGTTCTGCCCACGTGCTGTGGGGGGAGGGAAACAATGAGGCCTTCAATGATTGTGCAGGATCCACCCCCAGCTTCCCAGCGTGTCCCCTCTGTGGGCTGGATCCGGGTGGCTGCTTGGGGGCGGGGCAGGGGGCACTGAATGGGCCCCTTGTCTCAGGGCTGGGTGTGGGCCAGTCTCCCCAGGCACATGGTGCCCTCGCCAGGCCTGGCCGGCCGCCGTGGCTTCCACCCCCAGCTGGCTGAGGACAGGCCCTGTGGGTGAGCCGGCCCCTCCCTGGCAGCCTCGGGTTCCAGGCAGAAGAGGCAGCGAGGGAGACGGGCCCCATCTAGTGGGGAAGGGGAGAAAGCAGCAGCCGCAGCCTTAGCAGGACCCTGGGAGGCGGGGAAGGGGCCCCCCCCGACTAGAGGGGACTGTGGAGAAGCTGGATACTTGGAGGCCGACCCGGGCTGGACTCCTGCCTTACAGCTCCCTTGATTTATGACCTTGGGCAAGTTCATCGGTTTTTCTGAATCTCGGATTCCTTTTTAGTAAAATGGCACTGACAATAATACCTACCTTGAAGGGCTGCTGTGAAGATTACATGGAAAATGCCTGCCCCATACTCCATAAATGTTAGTTTCCTTCTCCTGGATCTGGGGGAAGAAGGGCCAAGGACATAAAGGATTGGCTTCTGGAAGGGCCAGGGGTTGGGGTCAGGGCCAGGCAGGCTCTCACAATGGGCTGGAACTCTCCCTCACTCTAGGTTCTCAAGCACTTGGACTCCTTTCCCTGTCCCAGGGAGGGGAGGAAAGGCCTGGGATAAGTCGCTGGGGGGAGCTTTCCCCCTGTATTTCCTATTTCTTTCTTTACTGCTGTGCTTGAAGCTCCTCAGCTCCCACAAAGGGTCTCAGCTCCCACAAAGAGTCACCCTTTGGGTGGCAGCCACTGGTCTGCAGCCTATGCCTCTCCCCACCCCACCCCCACTGTACCAAATGCCGGCTCTGCCCCCTACTTTGCGTTTGTCATCCCGAGACAGAAAACTGTGGTCATGAGGTTCTTCCGATGGGTTAGGAGGGTTTGGCAAAAGTTTACTTGCTGGGTGAGTTTCAGAGATGCCTTGCCCTTGGGATGTGCGGGATGTGCTTGGATGAGAATCCTGGTCACAGTAGGCCCCCACCATGTGGCTTCCCTCCCCTCCTGGCCTCCTGTGGGGATCAGATGGCTGGGGAGGGACTTGAGGGGAAGGAGCCCTGTCCCTCTTGTGCCTTCCTTTCTGCTGACCATGTCTCTGCTCTGCTCCTCTCTTCTGTCTTTTCTCTCCGTGTCTTGGTTCTTAGGTTTTTGGCTGGAGACACAAAGCTAAGCCACCCATTTTGGGACACTCTGGCTCCAAGAAATCTGCATTGAAGGGGGTGGAGAAGACTCCCAAGGTGGTTGAGACTTTCAAGTTGGTTGAGTGCCCCACAGAGGCTAAGCTCCCCCACACGGATGAGTCCCCCAAGGAGGCTGAGCCCTGCGTGACGGAGTTGGAGCTGGGCCGTGAGTGCCAATCCCTTCTGTGGCTGCCCCGGACAGCTGTCCAGTCTGTCTCCACGCTCATGGTCTCTGCCCTGCAGACCGGCTGGCAGCTGTGCAGCTGGAAGGTTAGCCCATCCCCTGGTTTCCAATACCCCTCTCACCCTTCCCAACCCACAGTGACTCATTCCTCCCTCCACTCATTTGTTCGACAATTATTTCCTGTGTCTCTACTTGGTGCCAGACACTGAGGATACAACAGTGAACAAGACTTACCCAGACCTGAGGGACTATGGAGAAGATAACAGGCCTTGTTGGTTCAGTATCATAAAGGGTGTGAAATGAGAGCCCAGGGAAGGAGCATCTCATCCAGACCTGGGGAGTCAGGGAAGGCCTTCCTGACAGAAATGAGGGTGAAGCCAAGATCTGAAGGCATTATCTTGGCTTGCAGGGGTTGCTAGGGGAGGGCGAAGGGAGTGAGAGGACCATTCCATGAAGAGAGAATAGCAGGTGTGTGTGGAGCTAGTCTGAGATGTGTCGGTCAGAGTGGAGCCAAGGGCCGGTTCATACAGGGAGGGTGGCCAAGCTGTGGAATTTGGATTTGGACCTAAAAGCAATGGAAGCCCATGAAGACATTTGAGCAGAAGAAATGCCATGATCAGACTTTGATTTAGAAAGCTCACTGGCACTCAGACCTTGCTGGTGGGGTTGTAAAATGGTATAGCCACTCTGGAAAAGAGTATGGTAGTTTCCTATGAAACTTGACATGCAATTACCATATGACCCAGCAATTGTACTTTTGGGCATTTACCTCAGATAAATGAAATTTATGTTCACACAAAAATCTGTATGTGGATGTTCATAGCATTTTTATTTGTAATAGCGAAAATCAACCCAAATGTCATTCAGTGGGTGAATGGTTAAACTGTGGTATATCCATACCCTGGCATACTACTCAGCAATGAAAAGAGACAAAATGTTGACACATGCAACAACTTGGATGAATCTCAACGGACTTGTGCTGCATGAAGGCCAGCTGCCAAAAAAAAAAAAAAAAGAAAAGAAAAGAAAAGAAAAATTATGCTGAGTGAAAACAATCAATTCCAAAAGGTTGTATACTGTATGTATGATTTTACTTACATATCATTCTTTTTTCTTTTTCGTTTTTTTGGCGGCTAGCTGGCACAGGGATCCCTTGACCTTGGTGTTATCAGCACCATGCTCTCCCAAGTTAGCTAACCGGCCAGCCCTCTACCATTCTTGAAATAACAAAATTACAGAAATGGAGAGCATATCAGTGGTTTAACGGGGAGGGACAGGAGGTGTGTTATAAAAGGCAACATGAGGGGTCCTTGTGATGATGGAAATGTTCTGTATCTTGACTGTAGTAGTTGGATACATGAACCTGCATGTAATAAAATTTTGTAGAATTAACCCCCCCAACTCCCACAAATGAGTACAAGTAAAACTGCAGAAATCCGAATAAGATCAGTGAATTATATCAATGTCAATACCCCGACTATGACACTGTGATCTCAAAATAAAGTGTTTAATTTTAAAAAAGGGAAATGTCTAGGTTGCTACCAAGTCAGCTTATTTTGGTCTTGAATAAAGTGTTATTGCATTAATGATAATAAAAAAAGGTTCACCGAGCTGCCCTGTGGAGCGGGGTTAGCAGGGGACTAGCAGAGGGACAGGAAGATCCCCTGGCTCCACTGACGCAGTCCAGGCTAAGAGAGAAAGCTGTTCTGGACTGTGGTGGGACAAATGAATGGATCTGAGCGATACTTAGGAGGTAGAATTGCTGGGTCAGGTGGTTGGTTGGATGGAGGTAATAGGGAGAAGGAGAGAGAGAAGGCAGGCAGGCTGGAGACATTCACCGGAATGGAGGATGAAAGAGGAAGAGCAGATGTAGGGGAGAAGGTAACAAGTTTAGGGCGCTGGGACAAGATGAGATCAGATGTTAGGACATCTGCATGGAGGTGTCCAGGTGGCAGTGGGATATACAGGCCTAGAGGTCAGGAGAGAGCTCCGGGCTGGAGACAGAGGTTGGGGTGTCATTCTGTCCCCCTTCACTTAACACACCCTCCATGAAATCCTGAGTGGGAGGACTCAAAGGTGGGTCGGACATGGTCCTTGTTTTCCAGGAGCTTGCATTCTAGCAGAGAACAGACCAGTACTCAGAACAAATAGTGTATGATGGGGTGAACACAAGAGCAGAGACGACGACCACCTAATGCGGCCTGAGAAGGCTTCCCGGAGGAGGTGGTGTCCAATCTGGCCTAATGGGGGGGGGGGGTGGTGGAATTAGACAAGCCCTTTGCTATTGCTCTGCAGGTCATTTCACCAGCGGTTTATGCCTGGACCCAGCTATTTACGCATGCACACTTTCTTTCTTTTATAGTCATCTGTGAGTTCTGCCTCAGTCGCCTCCCAAATGAGGACCCGGTCCCCATTGGACACACCGGAGGCTGAGATGCTGCGGGAAGTGTATCTGGTGCTATGGGCCATCCGGAAACAACTGCGCCAGCTGGTCCGCAGGCAGGAGAGGCACAGACGGAGGCACCGGAGCCGGACCCACACCGTCCCGCAACCTGACCCAGTTCAGTCCCTGAAACAGGATGCCCGAAGTCCCCTCTAGGGGAGCACCATAGATCTTTCAGAAAGCCCCCACCTGACTCTTAGGTAAGGTTGATAAAAGGGGTCAGAGCAGCAGGCCAGAAGTTGTAGGTGAGACGATGTTTTCATACTGTCACCTGTCATCAGGAGTCCAAGGCCAGGACTGGGGTCCCACATACTTCCCTTCATTCCACTTATCAATTTATAAAAAATTATCAAAATATTGGAAAATAAATACCAGATATTTCCGAGCAGATGTAGATTGTGTTTGTAGATGGTTGGAGGCAATAAGGGGAGCGTGGGTGGCAGCTCCCAAGAGAGAGACACCTGAGGTGGGAGCCCAAGTGCGTGTGGGAGTAACTTGTGGGTCTGTTGGGGGAGAGAGGATCAACAGGTCCCAGCCCTGGGCCCCCACACCTTTTTAGGGGCTCAATTGCCTTTGGCAACTCTGCCTGTATAGTAAGGATGGTAACAGCAGCCATTGATCAAGAACCCTCTGTGCACCAGGCCCTAGCCAGCTGCTCCCCCTAGCAATCCTACAAGAACGGTATTTAGAGTGGGTCACGTGACTTGTTCAAGGCCCTACAGGGAATGAGGCTTCGGTGGAAACTGCCTGCTTCCCCGAGCTGGCCCACTGCCTTGCCTCTGGCGCTCTTGGCTTTGGCCATGGGCTTGGCAGTGGAGGGTCATGTGTCTGAAGACACACATCGGGTCTGCGGGAGATGTATCTGTTGGGAAGGAGCTTGGGTACTGCCGCTCATGCCCTGCTGAGAGCCCTTGGACATCACACCTCCCAGGGTGCTGTCGGCCTCTCAGGCTCCGTGCAGGGATCCTGCCAGTGGGGGGGCAGGCTGGGTGGGGACCACGGAACCCTGACAGAGGCCATGGCAATTTGGAGGGGGGTTGGTAATTTTGCAGGGGTGGGGAAACAACAAGAAGGGGAGACCCTGGAGTCTCAAGTCCCCTCTTGGTCTTAGCGTGCCCTCTAGCCAGGCCACGTGAAGGTACAGAGGGGGCTCCCCAAGGAAAATCAGTGATATTTCATGAGACAGAAACATTCAAGGATCTGAGGGTTCACAGGGCTTGAGGGTGGCAGTGGGGCCCCAGCCTAGGAGGCCGCAGAAACCCCAAGAGGAGAGGGGAAGGGAGAGGTGCAGACATCTGTGCTGCGTCCTACCCAAGGAGAGGTTACTTGTGAGTAGCAGGCGGTACATGTGAGCAAATCACAGGGGCAGTGAGGAACAATGGGATGATTGGCTGGAAGCACTCAATTCTCTAAAAAAGTCAGCCCCCCCGCCCCCGCAACACACACACCTCTGCAGCTCTGGGAGTGTTTGGCCCCACTGCTGGGGTCTGGAGCCCCTCCAGTGCTTTGCTACGATGGGCCTATCAGCTGTCCACCACACCTCACCAATTACAACCACGGTAACACCACTCACCACTTATTAAGCACCTACTGGGACTACTTCCATAAGTCTTATTCTCAGCAATTCTCACTACAGCTTTCTGAAGTAGTATTGCCTCCATTTTTCAGAGGAGAAAACTGAGGGGCAAAAAGGTCATGTTTAAGGTCATGCCACTTTCATTCTTCCAGCTGATGGATCTGGCTCACACAGGACATGTTACATAGCAGGTGTTCGACACACGAGTGAAGTGGCCTCTCTGGGAATCACCCCTGAGTGGAGCCTAATGTCAAAGCCTGTTTTCAGGTTTTCAGGTGGGGCCTCAAAACAGGCTGATTTTTGGAGTTTTCATCCACAAGCTATTCATCACATCTCCATTGTGTGCCAGGATCTGTTCTGTGGCTGACCAGTGTTGGTGCAGGGTCTGTGTCCCAGAAAGCCTTGAGGTTTAATGGGTCCCACGGCTTCGGAGTAGCACCTTGCTGTCCAAGATCCAGGACCTGCCCCTCCAGGTCCTTAGAGACGGGCTCCTCTTCACTGGGAACCTGAGGTTTCAGTGAGAGGATAGGGGGGAGTGGGGCCCTGAGGGTCACTCGTAAATAGCCTTGCCAGTAGCTACAGGCCCAGGAGCCAATCCGGGCTTGCGGCTAAGGGCTTGTGGAAAGAAATACTGCTCTCATTTTTCTCTGGCTTCTTCAGCGTCTTGGGAGTGGGAGGGGAAAAGGGAAAGGGAGTAGTTCCTCTAGTCACCAAGGGAGCTGCCTGCACATCCCACCTCTCTCTCCTTCCCCAGATGCATGATCCTGCCTGGGCTCAGCCAAGCAGGAGCAGGAAGAGAAAGGGGTGGGGTGGAAGAGAACAGTCCATAGAACTTGCTTCTTCTCAGTCCACCTAGTCTCCTTTGTCGTCCATCCTAAGCAATCCCGCTCAGAGCCCTGGAGAGGGACTGTGGTGGGACAAGAGGAGGAACTTCCCAACCGAGACGGGGACGTGTGGTGTCTCTAGGGGTGGAGATTTAGACACAGGGGGAATTCTTCCCCACCCAGCCATCTCCTGGAAGAGAACAGTGGGGAACAAAGTGACCCCTGGGGCAGAAAGAAAGTTGCCTCTTAATGACGGTCTTAAGCAAAAATCCCATCTTGGACACCTTCTCCTGTTCTCTACAGACCCCAGCTACTTCCCCTTCCCCAAGGCCGCTTGACTCCATGAGGCAAGAGTGGGAGGGCAACAGGTGGGCCCAGCTGGACTAGGGGTCCTTCTTTATTTTCAAAGACCACCCATCCTGTTAGAGAGGGGGGCCTTGGGGTACAGGGGGCAAAATGAGAGGATCTCATTGCTCTCTTCCCAGTCCTAGGCCCCATCTTCCCTTCCTCCCCATCACTGTCAAATTCCCAGAAAATTTCAAATCTTTTCTTTTGCTTCTTTCTTGGGCACCCCCTACAATCCATTGACCACACAGCAAAACATGTCACCACCCTGCTTAAACCCTCCAGTGGCTTCCTATCATCCTTGGGGAAAAATTACCAACTGTTCCCTTTGTCTGAAACGCCTTTCTTTCAGATCTTGACAGCCTTCAGTGGGCGCCTTGTCCATCTGGATTCTGTGCAAGTGTCTTTACTTCTCATAGAGATCAAGAGAGACCCATCCTTGAAATCATCCTCTATCTCTCCCCATGCTGTATTTTTTCATAGTACTTAATGGTATCTGAAATTATATTTATTTGTTCACCGATATACAAGGAGGCAGAAGTGATAAATATGGGAAGTGGATTAAACTGACACTTCCTGGATGTTTAACCTTGGGTAAATTAATTAACCTCTCTGAGCCTCTGTTTCCTGATCTGTAAAATGGGGCTAGTAGCCATACCTGCATCACAGGGATATCATGAGGATCAGAGGAGACACACCATAAGGGCTCAATAAATGTTGGATGCTATTATTATAATAATGGTTATGATTTATGGATTATGATTACTATCCCCAAGGCCTACAGCAGTGCTGAATGAACCAGAAAGTAAACCTCCACTTGATGTGTGGGAAGCACCCTCCAACCGGCTGTCTTGTGGCCATTGGGGAAGTGATCAAGAATGTCATGTCGGGGTCCTGAGGTGTGGAGCTGGGGGAAGCTGAACTCAGCCGCACCTAGGTAAAGAGCACACCAATAACACCATTTTCACACCGGTAGCCCCCATAGTCACTGCAATTGCCATGGCTGCCGCAAAAGCAGCTGATCTCTATAGCAGCAGTCATAGCCACCACACAGGTGGCATGCCAGACTCTCAACTGCAATGACACAAGGAGAGGCACAAGAGCACAAGGCACCCAGGAGCAAAGACCAAAGGAAAAAAAAAAAAAGAAGAGATTCTCTCTCTCCACAAAGCACACTCCAGAGTAATAGAAGCATCTGATTTACGATAATAGGGGTGGACTTGATCACACCTGTCTCAGTCCTGGACAGATCATCAAGGTAACAAACCAACAGAGGAACAGTTCATCTATCAGATGGAGAGAACAAGTCTATGGTTTTTGGGGGGGTGGGGAAGGAAAGGGGGAGGCGAGGGGAAGGAGGAGGGGGAGGGGGATTGGATAAAGGGCATAAAGAATAAGTATGATTTGTAACAATGAATATGCTAATAAAAAATAAGTTGAAAAAAAAGAATGCCATGTGCAGGAAGTAGTAGGAAGAGCACTGGGCTGGCCGGTTAGCTCCACTGGTTAGAGCACAGCCTTATAACACCAAGGTTATGGGTTCAGATCCCCATACTGGCCAGCTGCAAAAAAAAAAAAGAGAAAGAAAATAATCCAGAGACCTTGGTCCTTGTCTCAATATTCTACCACTTTGCTTTGTGACTTGCAAGAGTCATTTTCCTCCACTAGGCCTCAGGCTCCTCAAATAAAAAGATGACTTGAATCAAATGATTGCTCTGCTCTCTACCAGCTTCCAGGGGCTCCGGTTTGGGTCCTGTGCTTTCTTTTCTACTGCATACTCTTCAGAGTTTGGCGCGACATGGTCCCCCCAATTTGCCTCAGCCCATTTCTAACAGTCCAAAGTCAGTTGTTATTTGAGTTGTCACAGAGAGAGCTGACCAGGGTAAAACATTCTCTGTTTAAGTCTTTGAACACTTCCTCTTCCCAGCCCTGAGCACCGATCTCCTTTCTACCTGTGTTCCTTGCTCCCTTTCAGCCTCATCCAGTTTAGTATTTGAACCCTGAGGAAGGAGAGCCAGCCCTGAGTGCTCCACCGTGGGCTGGGCTCAGGCAGGGGCTCTTTTTATAAGGGGGTGTGTTGTTTAAGGTGAGACACAGGTGAGCAGTGGCTGGAGGCCTTGGCCTCAGAGTTATTCTCTGGCACAGAGATGGGTGTGTATAGCTGCTTGCACAAAGATGCATGTGCCTGCATGTACTTGTGCCTGTCTGTATCTACATTTTAACATGATTCTGTTTTCCTCCCAGGAGTGGTCAGACTGAGATTAATTAGAGGAAAAGATTATAGGGTTGCAGGGCTGGCATTCTCTACCCGGTAGGCATCTGCTATGGGTTAAATGTGTCCCCCCAAAGTTCATGTATTGGAGACTTGACACCCATTTTAACAGTACTGAGAGTGGGAAATCCAATTATAGGATTTGGAAGGTAAGGCCTTTAAGAGGTGATTAGATTGTGAGGACTGTGCCCTCATCAATGGATTGATGTATTCATGGAGTAATGGGCATGGTTCTGATGGCTTCAAAAAGAGAGCAAATGAGAAGGTTAGTTCTGTTTCTCAGGCCATTCTCTTGCCATGTGATACCCCGGTTGCCACAGGACCCTGTAGAGAGTTCTCACCCGGAAGAAGGCCCTCCCTACACATGTTCT